TGCGCGTAAATCTCCACGATTATATAAAAAACGGTTTTCAAACACTTTAATTAATGAGTATTTTCTCGGCAAAATAACTCCGGAAGTTTGAAAATATAACGATAATTTATAATTTTCAACAAGCTTTATCATCGGTAACATCGGCCACAATAAACTGCATAACTCAAAGCAAGCTGCAAAAATGGCCAGTATTTGTCCTTGAGACAAATTGCTCTTTTTAAAGGTCAGCCTTAATCAAGGCTGAACCAAATTAGAGCGAAAAGACGGTTAAAATGGGTTTTGGGGGGACCGAACCTGGTTACGGAGCATCCCATCAGGTTCGGTGCACATTCGAGTTCTAGAAAGGAAATGACCTAGTCGGGATTCGAACCGGCGCCGAACCCGCCGGGACGCACCATGTATACGTTTGGCTACTGTCCCTATATGCATTTACATTTTGGTTCAACTTTATATGCACTTATACTCTCGCTTACATTTGAGTGTATATGCATTTGTACTATTGTTTTATATTTGCGCTGCAACAATCATGTATGGTCCATTGCCAGACGCCATAAAAATTATTGAATGCTCCACTTAAGCAGAGAAAATTAGAAAGAAAATATTTTTTCCAAGCAACTGCTATTAGGTACTAGATTCAACTCCATCTATTGAAAGGCAAAAAAGAACGTTGCTATCTGATAATTAGTAAAATTCCTCTCCTTGAAAATGCGAGGGAACCGCAAAAAACCGTTGACTTTAACAGAAAATATTTGAATTTGAAAGCTGTAGGTTTTCCTGTCTGCAGTTACTTTTGCAAAACTGACTGCCTCTATTTTTGAAAAATATCATCATTTTGATGAACACAGAGAATTCATTGAAGTTAAAGTGTGACAATTGTGTTCTATATGCTAACAAGACTGCTCGTATCAGGGCGAAGCCCTGAATGTTCCGACTGCCCGTTAAGGTTTATGGAGCAGTAATAACATTAAAAAATTCAATAAAATAAAAAGAAATGAAATTTTTTTTTCTAAAATTTAAAATTTTTTTATGAAAATCATCCCCCCACACGCCATATAAAGTACAAAAGGATAGATTTCGCTCCTTGTAACAAACCAATTATGGCAAACAAGCTTCTTTTAACCAATTTGGAACCATTTCTAAGACGCATTAAATCTCCGCTTACGCGTTTATAGCGCGAATTATATCGCGCGTTAATTGTCCAAAGTTGGCCAAAATGGCAATTTTTAAACCCCCGTAACTTTAAGAAAAATAATCACAGGTGAAATATCTTTTCAAATTTGAGCTCAGGAGAACAATACCTTTCGAATGATATAAAAAAATTCCGTCAAAAATGGCTAGTTAAAAAGTCGAAATTTGTCTGAAGAAAAAAAAAACCCACCCGAGCACAAATATTCCGTTACTTTCGTATCGAAAGTCGGAACAATAAACGATGTCGTTGTCCAAATTATCTTTTTATGTTTGTTTCTTTCTACTTTCTGGTTAATGATTTTTCATTTTTTTGAAAAGCTTTATGAATGCATTCAATCTTTTCAATTTGGCTTTATAGGTAATTCTTACTAACTTAGTTTGCATACACTTGATAGTCTTTTTTATATTTCAGAGACGAACTCCATTCAAGTGTTACTCTTGATAAAAAGTTCAAAATATGAAATCCTTGCATAACCGGATATGTGAACCCCTTTTTCTTAATTTTGATACTGCTCTGTGGCTGGTATAATGATTCCATTGCTAGGTTTTAAGTTTCAAAAGAAGTGATGGAAATTTTAAGCATGAGGAGTTTTTTCTCAAACCATTTTTGACATTATTTTTTCCTGGAAGATATTGATTTTCTTGATTTCTAGGTCAAATTCGAAAAAAAATTTCCGTTTTCTTAGGTTATGGAGATTCAAAATTCCCAGTTTGAACAAATTGGAATAATTAGAGCGTGCTAGTTACCATTTTTTTTGCGCTATTGGAGAATTAAAATCTTCAAAATTATTTGAGGGTTGTCCAAAAAACTTGCTTCTAGATATTTAATTTCTGTTCTAACTCTCTAAAAAAGAATGGAATATTTCTGCTCGCTGCACTTTGTTTCTCAAATCAATTTCCACTTTTTAAAAAATCGTGGTGCACTTCATACAATGCTTTCATATAGTTCGATGGAAGAAAAGTGCTGATCATATGATTTCACACATGGAATTTTTGCAGAAAGTGTTTATCATACAATTTTCGTAATTGCATGATTACGAAAAAAAATTAGTCGCAATTTCAATCCGCCAAAAAATTCCAATTTTTTGTAACGAATTTTATTCACCTCAAAACCTCAAACTGCAATGATTGTAGTCGTGTATAAAAAACAGCGTTTTTTATAGTACTGTGTGAAAAGCAAAACTTACCTTATGTGGCGAACCTTTGATAGAAATTCATCTGTAAGCCTGTTGTCAATTAACCGATGAGTTTTTTGTGAGAAACATCCACGATCGTGTTTTAAAAAATGGAAAAACGCTTTTCCTTCAGCTTTTGTGTATGGAAAAATGCTTATCTTAGAGTTCACATACACTTTTCTGTACGCATGCAATTGTACAAAATTGTATGGTGAGCATTTTTTCCTAAATGAAAGTTCTATTCGAAGCATTTTAATCAGTTGGGTAGCGATGCTTAAATGGCGTTTTTATTTCATCTGAAAAATCATAACGTCGTGAGCTCTAGTTTTAAAAGATATTTTAAGTAAAGACTGTTTTCATTCTAAAAAAAATGCGAATAATCAAACATTTTAAAAGAAATTTCTAATAACTTAGATCTATTTCTAGGCCATTAAAGTAAGTCTAAAAATCCTTGATCAGATGGAAAAATCTTGTCCATATGGTCCATTTAGTTTTGTAAAATCCTTGATCATGTCTGTCAAAAAGAAATATTTTTAGCCTGCAGCTTTTTTTACCAGTCCTTTAATCTGAAGTCAATACCTGCGGCAAAAAAATACACTACGGGTAATAAAATGTGTCAAATGCTTCTACTGTTATCCAAAACTGCCGATTGAAAAACTCGAAAAATTTAATTCTCAAACCGGAAGAACCGTTTTTTTTTTTCATTTTTCATGATCAAGTGTTTCTGCATTTTGTTTTTCATTATGTTCAATTATAATTGCATTTAAAAGTGACCGCCTATAAAAATAGATACACCGTGACAGATTCATGAAAGAGATGAAATTTTAGCTGAATCAGTTATTGAAGTAATGATTTAATGTGTTTGAACAGATGGTTTGAAACATTGGCAGCAGCCGGGGCTGCGGGCTGCTTTCTGAAACAATCCAGAATCAAATTTTTGAGCCAATCACGGAAAATACTTATATATTGAAAACTGCGTCAACGTTATTTTTTTCTTGATGAGATTTTTTACTCGAGGCGTTCTTCGAGTATTCTCCTGTGCATCATTTTTTATTAAAACTAAATTAATTTTATCTAAATTTGATTAAATTTAATCCAATTAAAATATTTGTCATCACAATTTTAGAAATTTCCTTAATGCGTCATCAGAACAAAGCCCTAAGGTGGAAAAAATATCGCCATTGCTCGCAGCGTTTTTGACGTTAAATCAATTCAAGAGTGACAAAAATGATTAATTTTTGAAAGATTTCCTGGAGGCTGCTTTCAAATTTAGTGTAGTTCAACAAGTTGTAAAAAAAACGTACACAAAAAATTTTGAAAATACTTTGCAGTTTGAAATTCTTAAAAATTTTTGCCGTGGTTGTTGTACTTTCATTTAAAATTTTGAATTGAAAAAATCTACTTAACAATTGCCCCCCCCCCCCCCCCTCCCATTTAAGAAAGGGGGCAATTGTTAAGTAGATTGAAATAACGCATTTTTGACCAATCAGATTGCAGTAAAATTCAAATTTTAAATAAAACACTCTGGTGCTATTTACCGCTTTTATTAATAGGGGTGGTAATTCTCAAGTGGATACCAAAGGGAGGGCGATTGTTAAGTAGATCCAAATCGACAAAAGGTCTGCGGAAAAAGTCTAATCGACAAAACGATTTGAGCGTTTTAGCAAAAAAAAAGTTGAAAAGGAATTAAAATGTGTATTTGTGCATTCCAAGACCCACATACGGTCAACATATGTTGAGCAAATGTTCATCTTATTTTCAGAAAAGATATTTTTAGGAAACCGTTTTTCTTCACCTGATTAACCTCCAAATGCATGTTTTTGATCATTTGTTCTGGCGATTAGTGTTGCCTCAAAATGAAGCAAGATCCAGATATGAATCAGAACATTCGAGAACAATTTAAGAACATTGGAGAGATAATAAATTAATATCAGGCTCACAATTTTGTAGACTGGTTTACGATATTGGTAACAACTTTATTCCAGAGCGAAGTCTGAGAGAACGTGATTAGACCAAATGATCCGTTTTCAAACGTCTCTGAGCGGAAAAATTTCAATTTATTTAATTCGAGAGGCGGAGGTGCAATCAAAGTCAACACCCTTTGCTAAACATAACCCGAAATTACCATACCCTTTTTTAGACAGACTTTCTTTGTTATAGAACCTTTAATTATTGACAATTCTGATATAGTTATTTTTAGGTGCAACTAGTATATGGGGACACCACTTAAGGCTTTCTTTTTATCTGAAATAAACCAGGACAGATTGGGAGAAATTGAGTCTCATTTTGAGGTTCATTGAAGAATAAAAAAAGAGAAACCAACCCTGATAATGATTATTTAGAAAATAAAGTCCGCTTTTTGTAGTGTTATTTCGTCTAATCCAGTAGAAAAAAATGTCCTAGCAAATCAATGGTTGGATTTATGGATCAACTCAGCAGCTTAATAAAAACTTACCTCCCTTGCCAATCTATTTCAGATCTATTTTAAGTAATTCAGTCGCATATTAATGAGTTTTGAAGTTTTAATTTTTTTTCTAAGTTAGGCACAGATATATTTAGAATCTTCTTCACTACTATTATTAAATTAAGTGAAATTTTGTGGAAATTCTCCGGGAATTTTTTCATCTTTTTTTTCAGATCCGACTGCACCCGAATAAACTGTGGGTTCCCGACTTGCTCCTCGAAAACAGCTTCGGACAAAGTCACGTGCACCAGTTGGACTACCAGAACTACGTAGTGGCCAGTTACTTCGGACTGCTCTACTGGGCCATACCTATGGTCGTGTTGAGCAAGTGTCGAACTGACGTGACCTATTTCCCTTTTGACCACCAGAAATGCTCCATTCGCATGTCGTCATGGACATACCATGACAAGTTAATTAATTTCACTCTTTCTCAGTACAATTCAGGTATGGAGATTCCTGTGAGCAACATCGAGTGGACAATCACTGAAGTTCTAGGGACATTCTACCCAAACCCAATGCCAGCCCCACATCCATACTATCCGGGCGAAGTCATAAGTTATCCATACATTATTTACGACATTGTTATGAAACGCAAACCCAGTTTTTATGTTAATTTGCTTGTGGTTCCGTCGTTTGTGATCAGTTGGCTAGGCGCTGTTATTTATCTAATTCCAAACGCGTCAGGTGAAAAACTTGGTTTTTCAATCACTCTTTTCCTCTCCCTGTACGTCAATCAGGTTATAGTAGCTGAACACTTACCACCCTCGGCTGATACCTTTCCTTTGATTGCTCGCTTTTATATGCTCATAAGTTTCATGCTCGCTATTTCCGTTTTTCCAACAGTTTTCACGCTTTCTTTTCACTACAAACTTATTCAGACTTTGAAACCGGAAGAGTCAAACTGTTCCGCTATTTTAAACTGGTTTGAAAAGTTGGGTAGATGCAAAAACTTCTGGTTTGTGACTTGTTGCTGTGAAGTTACATGCAAATGTCTGGCTGAAAGTAACTTGATGAAGAAAAAAGACAACGACGCTCGGCTGAACATCGACGAAAACTTACAATCTTTCACGCTTGTGAATAACCACTACAAGGAAAATTGTAGATACACAACAAACAACGGCAATAATCGACTGTACCACGCGATCAACAATGGAATCCGAAACCTAAATCACGCCCATGCTTCCAAGACAAATACGACCAATCATCACGAGAACAACCATATTGACGACTACAACTCGGTATTCGACGAGGAACGAATCGAGTATAAGCAGAGCGTTATTCAGGATTCGTCGCCCACTCAAATAAACGCACAGAATCGACGCGACTCGGTTCTCGGATCCACAACTGAAATGATGCTGGAACGAGTGCTGACGAAGATCGACTCGGTTTTGAACTCGGAACCCGACATTTTGTTGCAGAGGTGGCAGGTGATAGCGGCGGGAGTGGACAAACTCGGCTTTTTCGTATATTGCATGTCGTTGACTTTGGTCACTAGTGTTTTTTCGTTCTTCTTAATTTTCAGAAATTATCCAGCATAAAATGTAAATCAACATCTAGACATTCAGCATAAATAGTTTTCTATTTTAATTAAAATTTGTTTTCGTACTTGTCGACACCCCAGTTTGTGATGAGAAATAACTGACACCGTCTAGGTAGGATTTGATTGTTTGTTTTCTTCATTTTTACCTTTTCGATTAAAATATATCATAAAAAAAATTTTAGTTAAAAAAGTCCTAGGATGTGAAACGCTTTTTTATGAATTATGAAAGTTTTCTGGGCCAATTCAACTCCTTCTATTTTCAATTGGAAAAACAATCGACAAATGATTAGTTAATTTTAATCAAAAGCATTTTCGAAATCATATTTTGTCTTATTTCAAAAAGTCAGCATGTAAATGTCTGTTTACTTCTTGGCTGGTTTCGCTTTTGCCTTGCTTGTTTCGAACTTTTTCTTTAAGTATTCGAACGCGCCCTCTTTTTCCAAGTCAGCCAGAGTACCCCTGGACTTCTGACCGTACTGGAGAATACAGTCCTTACACTTGGGGTTGATCTCGCTGTACTCCAGGCGACCCGAGTCGTTGAATGTCTGTCGTTTCTTCTTCCCATTCTCGTCGGTTTTCGTGATCACGAGGTAGCCGAATCGCTCGTGGTCCACGCTCACACATTTGTGGTGTGTCGCTATAAAGCTAAAAAGGAGCAAAAAATAGGAAATAATCATTTATTTATTCTATATCTCGATTAAAAAGAACTTTTTAAGGATGATTTATATGCCTGAACTTCAGCTATATTACAAAGCGAGTGATTAAAAAGCTTAAGCCCTTAAATGGTAAGAAATGTAGGAATTTCATCAAAATTTGGAAAATGGAAAATGGGTGGTCTTGGTCTTAAATGGGAATTTACAAATTACAGACTTTAATAATGAATGAGAGGCTAAATTATCAAACCTATCTTCATTTGACTTCAATTTAGCCACTACAAAAAATTTAAACGCTCAAATTAATCGCTCATCAAGGAAAAAATTAATCTGACGCCTGTTACAAATGACTTTTTTTATAAAATTGGGCGGACCACCGAAATTTTTTTTAAATTTTAATTTAATCAACTTAATCTTGACTGAAGTCCCCTGAATCAACCATCAGAGACGGAAAATTTTAAAAAAATGAAAACTTTTGAGAAATAAAAAATGGACAGTTTTGTTTCTGAAAAAAAAATTCAAAAATGCCGATTGCGAACCATTGTGTGACGTCTCTTCAAGTACTAACAAACAAAATTTGAAATCCTTCTTGCATCCCCATCAAGGAAAATTTGATCATATATTTTAGTACTTGTCAAATGACTGCTTGGCCAATTTTTCTAACTTCAGTGAACCTTCACCTTAAGCTGTTTGCAATTTTATTGATTAAAAACTCTTTGCATAGCTATATTTTCATGCCAAATCATTGATTAATTTTTAGTTTGTTGATTTTTCTTCACATGCATTCTCTGTTATGTCGCTTTCTTTTTTGCAGCTTTTGAAAATATTTTCAAACAAGCGTTTTAAAAGATTCCACGAGCCAAGGAGCTTTCAAAAGGTCTATTGATTATTATTGTTTATCAGAAAATAGTAAACATATGGTAAAAATTTAAATTCGACACTTTTGATGGAATAATTGTGTTCATTTATTCTGAGAAAACATTTTAAAACCTTCAGCTACGCATAAAGCGCAATCATCAAAAATCGATAACCAGCACAATCAGAGCTCTTCAGCAGTCTTATTCAACACCTGCGGTAGGAAAATAATACGAGGGTTTCCATTAGGTCGAAAGATATCGAAGCCGAACAAAAGCATGCTTGCGCATCAAATCGAACCTAAGTTTTTCCTTTCTATGAAATTACCAGAACTTTGTGCAGTTGCAGCTAATTTACTATTTTTTGAATAGTTTTGTAATTTTTGATATAATACACGACGAATCAACCTTCTCAGATTTTGTTCAACCGATTAATGGGCATCTTTTTCACCTCTGCTGGCTTCAAATAAAAATAGCATCATGTGTTAATTTGAAGATTAATAGCTAGCTACATCAAAGTTAAAAAGGAATTTAATGTTTATTTTGATCGTGAACTTTCTAAAAATGAATGGTGCCCTGGGTGCCCACAGTAGTGCCCTGGGTATAATTTAGTACTATGTTTAGTACGATTATTTAAACATGAAAGGGTTGCGCACTGTTTTCTTAACTTTTTTTTCTGTGCTTTGAACACTAAAATCAAACACATATTTCAAACACAAATTTCAAACACATATATCAAAACACTAAAATCAAACACAAATTCAAGGTCAAAAACTTTGAATTTCAGTGCATCCTGGCGAACACCATCTGATTTTTTCAGGGCCATCAGTAGCTTGTACATTGTTTCAACCAATTTGGGACGTTTGTTTTTCATTAGTACTCAATCTCAAAAGATGGTGCTTCTAAAAGTTTAAAGGATCAGCAAGCGAGAAACGGATGTCACAAAAGCACGAGAAAGTGGCAGGCGCGGATCTAGGAATTTCTCGAGGGGGGGGGGGGGGGGGGGCGGATTTTCAAAACAATTTTTTAGGAATTGATTTTCTGAGCTTTCCCAAACCACTATAAAGACCCTAATTTCACAAAATTTTCTGCGCCGCCAGCAAATTTTTGAAAAAAGGCAAAAAAAATGCGTTTTTAGGCACGTTTTTCAAAATTTCGAAAAAAAAATCGCGTTTTTTCGGCCGCGCTCCCTTCTCAAAATAAGTATAGATTGGCGCCAAAGGCGCCTTTAGAAAAATTTTAAGGTCAGTCAGCCACAAATGGATTTCTCAAATTAGTTCAAAGGGGGGACCCTTTGGTCCGGCAGGGGGTCGAAACCCTGAAGAAGGCATCCGCTCTCCCCCGCCCCCCTAAATTCGCTACTGGACAGAAGTAAGATCTTCTGAGTGATTAAGGAGTCGAACTATTAAGGGTGGAACCATCAATCCAATGCAATAAAACATATATTTTTGTAACGTTTGACACAAAATGAGTACTCCGAAAATTTGATAACCGAATTTGTTATCTTCAGTGATGAAATCAGAAGTACAACGTCGGAAACACATATAAACTTAAGAAAAAAAGTCTAAATTTTAGATTTAAAATTAATTTTTATCGCCAAAAAAAATCGCCGAAACTGCAAGTTTGAATCCCCAATTTTTAAATCTCCCAAGACAAAAAAGACAAAAAAATAATCAAATGGTACGTACCAATCAGTTCATGTTTTCTCAGTGAAGTCTCCACTCAACAGGCAACATGGAGTGCTTTCATGGGACAGTAAAATGTAAAAGTACCCGCACTCAGTAAAAAGAGAAAGTAACCGATTGTATTATAATTATAATTATACTTTTAGCTAAATTTTTATCACTTATAAGTGCCAATTTTAGATACTTAAACGATTTAAGATCTATTATAATGATAAAATTTTTGGTGATTTCTTAATCAGTTTTAATATATTATAATTATTATAATTTTTCGGAAAATCTCTCCTAATCCATTTTTCTATCAAAATTTATCTCACAAAAAAAATCAATTATAATGAATTAAAACTTAGCTATTCTGCATGAAAACACAATAAAAGTCATATCTAATTTAAGTTAAAGCTAAAAACACAAATTTACAGTTTCTTTCAGCTCAGCAACTAACTGAAAAGCACACAAAAAAAATTAAAATTAAAACGGAATGAAGCTATGACATTTATCGAATAACCAGCTGAAAAGCACACAAAACAAAATAAAATTAACACCAAATGAAGCGACGACGCTTGTTGAAAAAACATGGACTATAATCCATCATACTTGATTAGATTAGATTATGCTCTCCATTATACTTCAAAAAATTCAAAAAATAATCCATTCTAATGCTTTTAATTGTTTCGAAAAATAGTTACATTTTAATCCATTTTTAATCAATTACAATCAATTTTTTTTTACTTTTCTGGGTTTATTGAATAACCAACTAAACATGCGTGGCGTTTGATGAATAACCAATTAAAAAGCACACAACACAAAACAAAAATAACACGAAATGAAGCGATTTCAAAATTTCAAGAAGTAATCGATTACAAGGATTTTTATTGTTTTGAAAAAAAAGTAACATTGTAATCCATTTTAAACAATTTTAGTCAATTCTTTTCGAAATTTATGGAGAATGACAACAAAAAAATCCAATATATTCTAAAATTTCTCTTTTTACTGAGTGCGGGTATGGTAACATGGCTAATGGAACTTTGTGATGTCACTTGAAATCAAAATTCTTATAATTTTGCATAAACTAAAACACTTGATCGAAATTCCAATAATTGATCCAAATTAAATAGGAAATTGAGATGCTATAACATTTCTGTCAAATACTTTTGAATATTTGAATAATGAATCAAACTTCAGATTGTTCTGAGATGATTTTGATTTTTTGTTCAATTATTCAGTAATAATTGAACGTAGTTCTATCGCATCTCATTTTTAACATTAAGATTAAAAATTTGCAGATTACATCAGCGCCTTGCATTAATCGTCGTTGTTTGGAGTTTTCTTTAAACAATAGAAACTCCTGATAACTAAAAAATTGTTTAAAAATTGTTGAATTACATAAGAATTTGAATTGAAACAAACTGATTCGGGGGCTAATCTCAAGTGAAAAAACTCAAGAACTCAGTCTGGCTTAAAAATTTTAACAAAAACTATTGTCTGACAACCGATTTTACTTAGAAAGAAAAAAAAAGAATTTTTTTCTACTTACAAAATCAAAGACTTTAAATGATAAATTGCTGAAATTAGAGCATGCATGCCCATTTATGACAGCATATGCTTTTTTTTCCTTTTTTATTTTACTGATGAATATAAAACACCGGAAACTGTCCTAACTGAAAAAAAAGAGAGAAAAACTAGCCAAAAAACCCAACTTTCAGATTCCATTTTCAGTATTTCAGTTTCTAAAAATTGTTTCTACTTCTGAATCTAAATATAATTCTCATTACGAGGCCAAACTGTGCATTTTGTGCATTGTAAGCGGATTCAGCAATAAGGACGCTCCCTTTGTTCTTCTTTTGTTCTTTCATTTTCTTTGATCGTTCCGACAAAATTTTAACATGTATAAAGACTTGTCTATGGAATCCAGGAACATACAGACACAAAATTGTGCGCCTATCCAGTGCACAGTTTGGCCTCGTAATGGTGCTCCAAATTTTTTTCGTGAATTTTTATATGACGCAAATAGTGATTTTTTTGTCGTTTTCATCAAAACCCAGTTGACAAATTTCCAATCATTTCACAACATGAGATATTTGCTCCCAAAACTACGGTTTTTTGATGACTAACTATAACATGTCAATTTTTCCTTCTTTTGATAACTTTCGAGGAATAATTTGTGTCAGATGTGGTGTTCTTCTCCAATCAAGTGACTGAGCTTAGCACTAAAAAAATGCAGGCATATCATGGAAAACTCCTTAATTTTTGTTACTGCCTTTTAATCGGTCACGAATAACTTAAGGTTAAAAAAACAGAAAAAATATGAACTTTGAGCTGATAATGTCAAATAGGAAGCAGGGGCGGATCTAGGTTTTTTCCCGAAAATTTTTTCAGCCTTTTTATAGATCGACCAAGTTGATTTCCCAAGCTCTCCCAAAGCACTAAATGGTAGTAATAGCTGTCTCAATTCAGTT